TTTTTACTCCTTCCTGAAAATGTAAAAGGCGCTTTAAAAAAAAAAAGATAGAGTCAAAGATAAAGCTTATTTTCCTTTTTTGCTCTTTGGAGATGGACCTCTGGTGTTTGTGTACAATGTAAAGAGAGTTTCAGATGTGATTCAGACTCCTTTAGTCCCAGGTGAATTGAATCTCTGGCATAAAAAAAACCACCTATCTCTTGTGACATAAGGGATGGGATATTGAATCCTAGGGCTTGCATGTGCTTTAAAATGAAATGATGATCCAGTGATTTGAACATATGGAGGGGAAAGGAGGGGAAGGACAGAACTTATATGCTCATGTACCAAGAAAGCAGACAACTTGCTACAGGCAGAGGGCTGTATGTGGCTAGCATCACGTATTCCAGGACGATTCACGTATGAGTGCTGACAGTCTGATACATATCACATAAAAGTCCACACTGACATTTATCCAGAGTATTTGTATGCATAAACTCAGATATGGATCTAGTAACGCATTGCGAGGAAGGAAGAGGATAGGAACAAATGACCTTCCCTCTGATTTCTCCACTCTTGGAGAACTTGTGGCCCAAATCACAAAACAGATGGATACAAGAGGAGAAACTAAGGGCCTTTGCAGACTGCCAGAAATAGTGCAAATTGAGTCTGCTTTTAGGGTTAGGGTTAGGGAATCATGGGAACTGTATTTCATTGTGGCACCAGAGCTCTCTGACAGAGAAGGCTCAATGTTTCAGAAAAAAAGCAATTCCCATTATTCCCTAGCACTAACCCTAACCCTTAAAGTGGACTCAATTTGCACTATTTCTGGCAGTCTGCAAAGGCCCTAAGAGAGTGGCTGGTTCCAATTAATCTCCAGTGATCACAGAAAGCAGTAAGCAATCCACTCCATCTCTGCTTTGGATCAGAGCCTCCTCTTCAACCATCCATGGCTACCATCTATAGATCAGCCTCCATTATTAGCTCAATATCAGTAGCCTAATGTTAGGTTTGTGTTGTGTTGGTTGCGTCATTTTGTCACTGAAGGTGGGATGAGGGATGTGTGTTGACTATGTATGTATGTGATTTTTGGAGCATGCCTTCCTATGCTACCTCCTTGGTTGGCAAAAAGACATTCTCTTTGTCTTGAGAAATAGACAGCCAAACTGTCTATGCTGCATTTTGGAGTTCTGGGTTTATGCTAGGAGTGAAAAATGTGCAAAAAGTCTGATGATGTGAACATTGTGCTTCCTTGGGTTGAAGGGAAATGGGCATTTTGAATTAGTTCTGTTAAAAATTTGGGAGTAGAACATTGCATTCAACCCTTAGAAATACCTCAAGCTCACTGTATTGTGAGCTTGAGAACAGCTTTACAATCTTACAAAGACTGACTCCAAACACATTTTAATTCTCTGTTTCATCTGTGCATAAAACATTCTTTGCAGATAATCAATTTTTCACATGCTTTTCTGATAAAACATTTTGAGTTATAAAGTGTGAAGCACCTCTCCATCTCAGAAGAGTATCGCCTCTTCTCTCATGAGGAAAGGATCTAGTCTTATAGAGAATGATGCTCAGTACAGCATCAGTATTACTTGCAAAATCCTTATTATCTGGGATTAATGGTCGCATGAGATCTCCCACTAAATTCTCTGGGTTTCTTCATTGCTTTCTTGGTACAGAGGAATCAAAACTACAGTTTCACAGCTGCGTATTCAGTGCTTTGCCTTTTATCTCAGTTTGCTTTTGGAGCAAAAAATGAATTAAGAAGGAGGTTAGTTAGTACAACTGGAACCCTCCTAGACTAGTCTTGAAGGTGCTTCAAGCCACTATCGGGTTTTCTTAAAATATTGCTAGCAAAGTTGTGCTTTTTTACAATTTAGCAATCTTCCAATCTCATCCATCATTTGTGTTGTTTGGAGAAAACTAATATTCATTGCATATTGTCTCTTTGTAGTCCTTCCAAATATTTAGTACAACAATTTTCATGTGTGATGTTTGATGTACAGTAAGCCCTCCATAACCATGGATTCTGCATCCATAGATTCCACCATTCACTGCTTGAAAATATTTATTAAAAATTCCAAAAGCAAACTTTGATCTTGCCATTTAACCTAAGGGACACTGTTTTACTATGCCATTGTATAAATGGGATGTGAGCATCCACAGATTTTGGTATCTATGGGGGTTCTGGAACCCAACCCCAATGGATAACAAGAGCCCACTGCGTTGCAGATGATTTTGTGTGATTTGAAAAAAAAGAAAGAAAAAGAAAATTAAAGAAAAAAATTGTGTGCTGAGAATTAACAACTCCTAATCGGTTTATACTGAGAAGCATTAGTGGTAAAGCTTATAAAAAATAAGCACTATAGGAAGATATGATGCTCATGTTGATGGTGGAACTTTGTCAAGAGTGCCTCTGAAGAAGACTAAATGGTTACTGAACTAAGTGGATGATGTCTTGAGACTATGCTTCCTTCTGTGATTTTTTATTCTTGATGTACTGCTTTGCTTCGATTCCTAGCTTGGCCATGAAATTCACTGGTTGACCTTGGGCAAGTCGCATTCTCTCAACCTTAGAGGAAAGCCAAGGCAGATCCCCTCTGAACAAATCTTGCCATGAAAACCTAGAGTAGATTCATCACTGCGTTGTCATGGGAATCATCTGCTGCTACTGGTAGTCCAATAACAGATGAAAAGGCCCATGGTAGTGGTTTGAGAATTGGATTGTGATTCTGGAGACCAGGGTTCAAATCCCATGGAAACCTACTGGGTGTTTTAGAGGAAGTCACACTCTCTCAGTCTCAGAAAGCCCTGTAATAGAGTCACCTTCACGTTGGAAAGGACTTGAAGGCTCACAGCAACAACTATGCAAAGCCTTCTAGCCTAAAAGCCAAAGCACTACCAGAAATATTTCAGAGGAACAGTTTCTTTGCTAAGAAATGTGAAAAATAGGTTCAAGATGGCCAATACAGCCTTCCAGAAAACAACATTTTTGCATCGTCTTTTCCCATCCCTTAGTTTCATACTTCTGAAGGAAAGGGCATGCATGACATGTTCTGCAAAGCCATGCTGTTTATCTGTGAAACAGAGTACTTAATGCAAAGTGGGCAAATTTTGGAAGGAATTCATTAAATATAAGGAAATCTAGAAAACATTCAAGGGGATTTAAACACGTAAATTACAGCTAAGCACTTTCTCTGCAATGCCAGGCAAGTCCGATAACAACCTATTCTCTTAGATAACATTTGCTGTATTATCCCGAGTAATGTATGAATCAGCATTCTAGCTCCACATAAAAGAGATTAAGTTGTATTTTTAGCAGCCTGGTCATGAAAACTGTAATTTGATTTATTGATCTTTATACATGAGCTCGAGAGAGAGTGAGAAAAAAGCAGGAAAGAGAGCGAAGCTGTCACCGAAACAAATGGTGGCGGGAATATTAGCAGTCCAGCTTTAGCAAAATAAGAAACAAAATAAAACAAAAATGCTTTTACAGAGCACTTAATTTCAAGACCATGGAATAACTCACATATATGTTAATGTATCACTTTTAAAAAATGTTGATTTCTTTTTGTCCCAAGATGTCTTTTTTGTATCTATTTGAGAAAAAAACCCATCATCTTCCTCTCATTTCAGCCTTTTGAACTGAATAACACACCTAGTTGTCTAGTTTGCAAGTTTCCTTCCCTATGCTTTGACTCATAGGGAAGGACATCTGATGTCCTTCAGATGTTGGAGAATGCAGGTCCTATCATCCCCACATAACATGGCCAATGATGAAGGCTCATGGAAGCTGGTCTAAAACCCCAAGAAGGCACTATTCTGAAGAAGCCTCACTTTCCCTTCCTTCTTAGCAATTTCCTCCACTGTGGTTTCTGGGTATGGTTTGCAGGAGAACATATTCTATAGTTTGCTTCATGAGATATGATAGACTATGGCCTTGAACCAGGAAAGGATGGAAGGAATCACCATATTTGAGAATAGACAATGAGGGAACAGTTGAGCCTCTCACCAGAATGATGCAAATAGTGCTGTATGTGGTTTGGAGATACATCTGAAATATATCATCTCTTTGGGACCATATCTCCTTGCTTTCCACCACTGGCTACCTCAAGTTTAAAATCTAGGCCAGTGATTCCCAAACTCTGGTCTTCTAGGTATTCTGGACTTGAGTTCCCAAAAATCCCAGACTATTGGCCAAAATTTAGCCTTCTCTGTCAGAGAGCTCTGGTGACACAACAAACTACAGTTTGTACAAACCCACACAACTACTGTGGATGCAGCAAAAGTTTGTGTACACTGAAAGCCAGCCGTCCATGTGGACAATTTTGGATTTTGGAGTAGTTCAGATTTTGGAATTCCAGACAATAAAGACACAACCTGTATACAACAACAAAAATGCTCCTCATCTTCTGGGTACAGAGCCTTGAGCAACTGGGTTTTTAGAAGCATCCAACTGGTGCCACAAGGGCAACTCCAAAATGCAAGGTTTGAGGATTGCTGTCTTAAAAGTATGCAGGCTAGGGGGAAAAAATTCCAGCCGCTCCACCCTCAACTCTATGAGGCTTCTGAAAAACAAAAATAAACTTGCAATTAATAATTTTTTTTTAAAAAATGAAGATTATAGTGTCGCCAGCATTGCCACACCATGTTCAGACATCATTATTAATGCTATCTTGATGCTTTTAAAATGGCTTTTGCTTAAATCCTTTAATACTGCAAATGGGATTAGTTTAGTCTTTATTTATTTATTTAGGGTGTCCCAAGCATTTACAGGAAATCTGTGGAGGTTGGCCTTCTTGAGCAGCTGACAGTTTTCCCCTCTACTTATTCAGTGCCTTATCTTGCCCTTCCTGAAATATGGTCACCCAACATCTCTCTAAATGACTCTGGTGCACCAGGATTCAATGCCAAACTACATAATAATAATAATAATAATAATAATAATAATAATAATAATAATAATGATGATGATGATGCATATAAAATAAGTCAAACCAGTCACCCTGTGGGTTTCATGGCTGAGCTGGGAATCGAACCCTGATTTCTAGAGTCATAATCCAACACTCAAACCACTATGCCATGCTGGCTCTCAAGGCATGATAGGTCAACAGAATAACCATTATAAATAAAGCCAACAACTTCATTTCTCTTATGGTGCTCAGTGTTTTTGTAAGAAATATGTCACATTTTCCTCCCTCCATCCATCCATCGATTCATCCATCCATCCCCCGCATCCCAGTTCTCTCCCAGTGTTACAACTCCTGTGCTCTTTTTTGTAGTTGATGTTGATTCTTCCTGATCTTTGCCCCTCTCAAGAGAAATGCCTATCAAACTTTGTGATACTGTCAACCATCATGAAATTCACAGACTTGAGCATGTCATTGACAGGGAAACCGATTAGGTCATTCGCCTCATCCTCTGTTCCTCTCCGCTAGCATATTTCCTACAGAGCTTTGTCATGTCAGGATTGGCCGATGGCACCCCTTCCCATCATAAGCCCAGTGGCTGTCATGCCGCCTAAGGGGCTGCCATATTCATTCTCAACTTTGACCCAGGAACAGTCAAAATCATGACTAATCGTTGATGTGGGCAAAGAGGATGGCCTTGGTATCTCATCTCCAAAAGGCATGAATGAATGCTAGCAAAACAAGGAGAAATATCCACCAGCGATATCCAGAAGGGCAGGATGACTGAACAGACTTATCTTGCTATTTCTGGACTGGCGGGCAATCTTTGCCAAGGAGTTGAACATCAATGACTAAATCTATTAGTTCAATGTAACCACAATTGTCTTTTATAGTTAATAATATTTTTGGGGGTGGGAAGAGAAATTGAGTTAGCAGAGCTGGATATTTTGCTCGAGTTACTTAACATGCAATTTGTTTTGTTAAAATGTCAATCTGCTGATGAAAACATTGGCAAGGGTTGGAGATTAATGTTTCGGGTTTGGGGAGTAAAATACAGAGAGAATATGTACTGGGCACCAAAGGAATAGGCTCTCTTGTTGCATGTCTCTATTGCAGCCAGTGTGTATGCGGTGTGTCTGATCCTATGCAGAAATTATCAGAAATAAGTCTTCCTGAGTTAGTGGTGCTTGATTGGTCATATGTTTGCATACCATTGCAGCCTTACTCTCCAGCTGTTGTTGGAAAAATTAATGTCTGGATTTCTGGCAAGAAACTGAGTGGGTAGAGCAGACACTTCACATGCAGAAGGGCACAGGTTCAATCTTTTGCATTTCCATGTAGGGCTGAGAAAGTTTTGGGTACCTCATGTTAAGAAGGAGATAGACAAGTTGGAGCAGGTTCAGAGAAAAGCAACAAGGATGATAAGAGGCATGGAGGACAAAACTTAAGGAAAGGTTGAGAGAGCTGGGCATGTTCAGCCTGGTGAAGAGATCTATTCTCTGCTGCCCCAGAATATAGGACTAGGTCTAATGGTTTGAAGTTACAGGAGAGTAGATTTTGATTGAACATTTGAAGGAACTGCTTGGTGGTAAGAGCAGTTTGGCAATGGAGCCAACTGTCTATAGCAGGGGTAGGCAACCTTTCCCCTTTAAGGGCCGAGG